GTACTGAGGTTATGGTGATTATTGCAACAGTTACTGAGGTTATGGTGATTATTGCAACAGTTACTAAGGTTATGGTGCTTTTTGCAACAGTTACTAAGGTTATGGTGATTATTGCAACAGTTACTGAAGTTATGGTGATTATTGCAACAGTTACTGAGGTTATGGTGATTATTGCAACAGTTACTAAGGTTATGGTGCTTTTTGCAACAGTTACTGAGGTTATGGTGATTATTGCAACAGTTACTGAGGTTATGGTGATTATTGCAACAGGTACTGAGGTTATGGTGATTATTGCAACAGTTACTGAGGTTATGGTGATTATTGCAACAGTTACTAAGGTTATGGTGCTTTTTGCAACAGTTACTGAGGTTATGGTGATTATTGCAACAGTTACTGAAGTTATGGTGATTATTGCAACAGTTACTGAGGTTATGGTGATTATTGCAACAGTTACTAAGGTAATGGTGATTTTTGCAACAGTTACTGAGGTTATGGTGATTATTGCAACAGTTACTGAGGTTATGGTGATTATTGCAATATGTACTGAGGTTATGGTGATTATTGCAACAGTTACTGAGGTTTTGGTGATTATTGCAACAGTTACTGAGATTATGGGGATTATTGCAATATGTACTGAGGTTATGGTGATTATTGCAACATGTACTGAGGTTATGGTGATTATTGTAATATGTACTGAGGTTATGGTGATTATTGCAACAGGTACTGAGGATATGGTGATGTATATTAGTAATTTAACCTCGCCACTACTGGAGCTGTAGGAGATGAAGAAACGTTATGGCTAGACACTCGGCTGTCTGCCTAAGGGTCTTGGCTTTGAAGTCCATTGGAGTCGGAATTCTCTCTAAGCTAACCTTGGCTCCCAGGTCGAGCCAGTCTAAAATGGCTGCGAGGAAACATCCTGGGAAGTAAAGGCAAATGGCATGATGATGACCTCATCAACCCACCGAATATTGATTGGTCTATAACGGTATGTCATGCATCATTTGCTCGAAGCGCTTTCTTTTTTCATCTTCTCTACTTTCTCTTTTACCGCTTCGATGTCAAAGGAAATAAAAGGTTCTGTTTCTGGCTCTTCTGGCTACCTGGACCATAGACACACCATGTTGCTGTAGAGATTCTCTGATGTTATATTTTCATATTGTTTTTGGTCTACCTCGTGCTGTACGTCTTTTTCCTTTTGGTGTTTGGTTTGTAGTAGTAGTAGAATTTTACCCCACCAGGACATCACACAAGCGGTAAACACCCGATGACACAGAGTGCCACCATGTGGATGAGGATCACCCGTGGAGAGGTCCCAGAAACCTCGTTCAGCCATTAGACCATATTTATGGTCGGGCTATATTGCGGCCCCTGGCAAGAGCCAATGTGGGGCTTCAAAACAGAGAAAAATTGCATCTCACAAGGAGATGACAGGATATAGGTTGGTTTGGCTTGTATGGAATGGCGCCATGAGGCAATATCTTTTAGTGGGCGAAGCACTTGATTTGCTGTCTGTATATGTAACTTAGAATTAGTTCTGCGCCGACCTTTTCTCCAGTCATCTCATCTCTTATTTTATATCTTCTGGTCCTTCTTGCAGCCTTTCTAAGCATCTCATGTCTATGGCTTTTATCATCGGCTTTCAGCTTGGGGTATCTCTGGAAGACATCGTTTCCTCGATCTCATTTCCTACTTCTCATTTCAGTGCCTGCTTAGTTCGTGTTCTTCTTATCTCTGTTTCAGCTATAACGCCATCACATCTAGTTACTAAGTGATGCGTCACTGTCGTTACAAGGGTCCTCCTATAAATACCTACTTTTACCAAGAAGCCCTTGTAGGTGCTAGCGGTCTTTACCGTTAGGGGGATGGTCACGGGTTCAAGTCTTCTTGGAAGTAAATTTTTCAAATTCCTCAGGGTTTTCAGGTGGACCAGAGATATAAATAATGATAGCAAAACGCTAACAAACAAACAAACAAAACAGTTTAATGAGCATAGTGGTGTATTAAAGTATTTAAGTTAGAATACATACCAAGATTCTGAATTGTGTACGTAGACTGGAGAAGGCCTGCGTTCATCTGAAAAGTATAATTAACAGAAGTCGATATCATTCAGTGTTAGTAATTATGCCATTCACATACAATGTTGTGACTCGAAACCGTTCTGGCGATAACCCTGTCTGTGAGCGTGTATGGTAAAACTATAAATACAACCCAGAAAAGATCTCAACTGAACTGCGGAAACATACACATAAAGGTAGTTTGCTTCTTGTGCTTTTATGTGTCACATTGCAGTATCGATTCCGTTCTGTCCTGTACCATCGCTTGGATATTACGGGTGGAATCCAGCCCGGCAGCTTTGGCTTCTCTCATCTACATTCACTTTCGGGTGTCTCTTTGTTGTCCTCGTTTCCTCAATCCCTCTACTTCCGGTTTCCTGTTTGTTTATAGTTTGTCTCTTCTCAAAATGTGCCCAGTATAGTCATCTAGAACTATCTTCATTCCAATACCAAAAAAGGGTGACCTGAAATTATGTACAAACTATCGAACTATTGCCCTGATCAGTCATGCAAGTAAAATTCTACTAAAAATTATAATGAGAAGACTGCAAAAGAAAATGGAAGAAGAGATTAATGTAGCTCAGGCTGGATTTAGACAGGGAAGAGGAACAAGAGATCATATATTCAACATGCGTTTAATAATAGAGAAGTGTAGAGAATTTAATGTAAATCTGTTCTTATGTTTTGTGGATTATTCAAAAGCATTTGACTGTGTACAACATCAGAAGCTTTGGGAAATCATGAGGAATATGGGCTTTCCATCACATATAGTGCAGCTCATTAAAATGCTCTATCAAGACCAACAAGCAGCAGTCAGAATAGATGGAGAGACATCAGACTGGTTTGGCATCAAGCAAGGAGTCCGTCAGGGATGTGTGCTGTCACCGTATTTGTTCAACCTGTACGCCGAAAATATAATGAGAAATGTAAGAGATGATATAAAC